TGGTTATGCTGCTGCTGCTGCTGCTGCAGCAGCAGCACAAGAGGAGTTTCTGCAGCTCATTGCTGCTGCTGCTGCTGCTGCTGCTGCTGCTGGTGCTGCTTCTGTTGATGCTGCTTCTGTTGATGCTGGTGCTGCGGCTGCTGCTTCTGTTGATGCTGGTGCTGGTGCTGCTGCTTCTGTTGATGCTGGTGCTGGTGCTGATGTTGCTGCTTCTGTTGATGCTGGTGCTGGTGCTGCTGCTGCTGCTGCTGCTTCTGTTGATGCTGGTGCTGCTGATGCTGGTGCTGGTGCTGGTGCTGCTGGTGCTGCTGCTGGTGCTGCTGCTGCTGGTGCTGCTGCTTCTGTTGCTGCTGGTACTCGCTGCTTCTCGTGCTTCATGTGCTGCTGCTGCTGCTCTAGTGCATGCATACTTGTTGCACTCAGCTGCTGCAGTTGCTGCTGCTGCTGCTGCTGCTGCTGCTATCTGCTTTTGGGGTTCTCAGGCTCGCCGAGCCGCCGTAGACTCTGTGGCTTCCATCGCTACGGTGTCGTCGTTGCTGCAGCGCGCTGCTGCTGCTGCTGCTGCTGCAGCTGCTGCTGCTGCTGCTGAACCTGCGGCCCAGAAGACCCGCAGCGGCTTCGGTGTATATACAGAGGAGCTGCGCGTCCGTTGCTGTTCTCTACCCTGCTGCCTGCTTTTTTTTTTGTTGCTGCTGCTGCTGTTGCTGTTGTCCTTGTTCTCTTTCTTTTGTTAGTTTCTCTCTGTCGCTGCTGCTGCTGTGCTGCTGTGCTGCTGCTGCTGCTGCTGCACACTCGAGCAGCAAAGCGTTTCAAGCCGGCTGCTGTTGCTGCTGCAGCTTGTTGTAGCAGCAGCAGGTCTTAGCTGCTGCAATATGAAATATGTGTGCTGCTGCTGCTTATATATTTAAATATATTTATGTTTGTATATTCGTTTGCATGCAGAAAGAAACAGAGAAGCTGAGTGCTTCCTTTAGTCGGTTTGTATCTCTCACCCTGCTGGCGGTTTCGCTGCAGCACGACGCTCTTAGCGGCCCCCAGCAGCAGCAGCGGCAGCAGCAGCAGCAGCAGCAGCAGCGGCAGCAGCAGCTGCAGCATCTTGATGCATTGCAAGGATGCGACAACTACAGTACTGCAGACCCTTTTGGGTAGGGATCTCGTGGCGGGTGTTTAGGGTTTAGGATGTGCTGCATGCATAGCTGCTTTTTGCTGTTGCTGCTGCTGCTGCTGCTGCTGCTGCTGCTGCTGCAGCTGCAGCTGCTGCTGCTGCTGCTGCTGCTGCTGCTACTGTTGTTTCTGCTAGTGTCAGTACTGTCTGCTGCTGATACACTCTATGTCTGTTCTTAGTATCGAGCCGAAGCTGCATTCATAGGCGTTATATATTATATAATATAATATATATAATATTATATTATATATTATATAATATTATATAATATATAATATATATATTATACACATTATTTATTATAATATTATATATTGCTGCTGATGATTGCCTGCTTGCTGCTGCGCAGGGCGCTGCTGGAGGAACTGCAGCGGGGAGCAGCAGCTGTTGCTGCTGTATCGAATGCTGCAGCTGCCTTCTTGGGCCTGAGACACAGCAGCAGCAGCAGCAGCAGCAGCAGCAGCAGCAGCCGTGATGAGTACGTTGCTGCAGACACCCGGGCACTCTCTAAGCAGCACTTTGCTGAGCTTGCTGCTGCACTAACAGATCCTCAAGAGCAGCAGCAGCAGCAGCAGCAGCAGCAGCAGGAAGCACTGCATGCAACTGACAGGATGCAGCAGCAGCCCCAAGGTGCACGCATGCATCTTCAGCTGCAGGCGGAGCCAGGGTTAACCCCTTTTCCCGTGCTGCAGTCCGCAGCAGCAGGATCGCAGCAACAGCAGCAGCAGCAACAGCAGCAGCAGCAGCAACACGGAGGCCTAAGTTCACCTTTTCCGTGGCGCAGCTGCTTGAAGCTGCCGCAGCAGCAGCAGCAGCAGCAGCAGCAGCAGCAGCAAGTAGAGGAAGCAGAACTTCCTCGATCGGAGTGCAGAAAATGGCTGCAGCAGCTGAGAAGGCGCAACGGTGCAGCAGCAGCAGCAGGCCTCACTCTGTCGGGATGGCGAGGAGCAGCAGCAGCAACAAAAGAACGGCTGCTGCAGCTTCTTGTTGAAACACTAACGGCACTCCTTCAGACATTCCGTTAGTTTTATCTGCATCTGCTGATTGCTGCTGCAGTGCTTTGTGCTGCTGCTGCTGCTGCTGCTGCTGCTGTTGCTGCTGCTGCTGCTGCTGCAGGAGATGCAGCAGCTGCTGAATCAGTAGCAACACAGAGCACTGCATCTACACCTGCCAATACAGATATCAC